CGCTTTATATTTTATTCCCAGTGTCAGTATGTTGTTTAAACAAATATTTTGCAAAATAGTTGCAAAGTAAATATTACTACACACACACATTCCTGCTTCATATTATTCGCACTGTTAAATTCGTTTGCGTTGTATATCAGAAAAAAAAGCTAAGCCGAGTTTCCCAATTTATAATAAAGTTTTCTAGAATAAGCATTGTATTAAAACTATGAAAAGTATTTTAAAGTAGCTGGAGGATTCCAATGGATGTTCCCAACTTTTTCGACTACATAAGCATAAACTGAATTATTGTAAAAACCAAAAGGTAATAAATTCAGAGATTCTCGTGATGGATGAGCTCGATAAAAGTTCAGCACTATACTGCGCCTCTAATAATTTATTTCACCTCGCGCATGTATTATCATTTCGAAAAACCTAAACATTGATTTACGTTTTTCGCGTTTGAACCGTATCATATTTTTGCTGTTTATAAAAAACAACACTCGTTAAAAATAATACGACACGGCAATTATTGGTTATTGAAATATTCGGATATGAAAATAAAATGTACCAACAAAACTCCCCCTTTTTATTGATTAAATGCGATACACGTGTTTCACGGCTAACTGGCAAAAGGTATACAATAAACCTTACGATGGTTGAATGTCGATAACAGCTATAAATAATAATTGTTATAGGTATTTGAATACAATCTGATTAAAAGAAAAAAAAAATATTGGAAAATTATGGTACCCATTAAATAATATATTATATACTGTTTAGTTCCGGCATTCATTTGTTAAAAGGATGTTTTTTTTTTACAAATTGTCATCAATTTCTTGATTTTAATTATAAATTAGCCATTTGCGCAGTAATAAAAGAATTTTGTTTACAAATCTCTTATGTTAATTTTAATTAGAGCCAGTATACTGTTAGAGCTTTAAAATCTAGAGCAAATGTATTCATTATTGGTTGCTTTTAACACATACCGAGGAATTATAATATGCTTTATCCAAATAGAATTACCTTCATCAATTCAATCCGAGCATATTATTATTCACTTAGAATTTACCTAACCGGGAAAATATTGATTTTAAATATTTCTGAGTTAGTTTAGAACATAAATACAGCTTTAAATAGAATAATTGTGTTCCCTAATCGGAAACGTCCGGACAGAAAATATCTCTGACAGCTAATTTTCTCTCATGCATGAAAATCAATTTACAAGCTGGTTGGTTCGCACTTCTTGTATTTGATTAGTGCGGAGTTGTCTACTGATATTTAAAAATACCATTTAAGTGCGAAACACTTCGATAAAAATAACATGCCACATATTCTTCCTGACATTTACTTCCATAAAAAATATGCAATTACTCGTAGAAGTTTGTTGGTAACGGTAAAGTTAAAACATACAAATTGAATAGCTTTATTTATTATCAATATTTTACTGTTTAACAAATCTCTCGACTATAAAGGTCGTTGGATTATTATCTATTAATATTGATTTTATTTTGTTTGAATTATTCAAAGTTTATCTTAAACTTTATTAACATACTTTAAAAATATCTATTACTAGTATGTATGCGTTATTATACTAGGTATTAATCACATGTGTTCACAAAATACCTATATAACTGCTGTTCACTTAATACGACTACGATTTTTTTCAAAGTAAATATAAGAAATAAAAATAAAAATAATATAAATAAAATATTTTTAGTTCTGCCCCACCAAATAACCGCCTAATGTTATTGCCGTTTTTTTTTTATTAAACAAAAGAATATTTAACTGGATTCAGTGGTAGTCAATAGACACGAAAGTTAAGTGGAATAAGAACAAAAGTAAGTGCGAAGGCGTAAAATGATTGTACCACAACTATAGTAAGAACAGACCACATTTAATTCGGCTAAGTAAATGTATATCTAAATAACTAATGTAATTTACCGTATACGTGTAATTTATTTCACCCGTATACTTTTTATTAACATTTTAATGGCTAATTCATCAGGGCGTGAGTGAAAAGGATTTACTTGGCGAGTAGTGGTTAAAGTAGTAGCTAGTAGTTAAACAAACAAAAGACGGCAAATGCACAGATAAAATAGACATTTCTAAACACCCGACTTGTACGAGAAATGATAAAATTATCTTTGTTTAAAAACTTTTCCCGAAATTACTGTTGAGCGTTTTATACTCCGTTTATTGATCGACCAACTTGATTCGGTTTATAAAAAATTAAGTAACCGTTTCATTTTACGCACTTACTTCGTTCAAGAAATAATTGGAAATAAACAAATTTAATTCAAAGTTATTATTTTTTAATATTTTGAAAACGTTGTCAGAAAGTGATGACAACATTTTATGATTTTCTTAGCTTTTAATGTTCAAGCACTTAATTGTACAGATTGTGTCATTTAATATGCATTATAGTGCATTTAATACGATTATAGTGTACTGAAGAGAGAGTGGAGGTAAAATATAATTTTAACGCTACTTCAACGTTTTCTACAATTGCGCGTTATTCGATATTAAATAAATTATTATTATATATCATTATATTCTAGTGTGCGTGTAGAAACTGCCAATCAACTTTGATAAAGCTAACTTTGGGGGGTGAGAAGAATAAGTGTACGGTCTTTTTTAGAATAGATTTATAAAAAGAAAAGGTTGTTTGAAACCAAATATTTATTTTGGGAATACAAATAACAAATATCCGAAAAATAATAACATAGTATTAACAAAAATACATGTATTAAACAACATATTAAATTTTAATTCATTCTATTGACGAGACATTTATCAATAAAAGCTAAAATGAATACATATTAATTCGACATTCAATACACTGTTCAACAAATATATTTCCAATTCCTCATTAATATTTATAAGTTTAATATTACAATGAAACATTTACTCATAGTTCCTACATATAGTATATAATATTATAATATTATGTTCCTTTGTGTTAAATAGTAATTTTACAGTTCTTCGTAAATAGTTCTCATTTCCAATTTATCATTGGTAATATAACACCATATTTCAAACCTATAAGTAGAGTCTTTATTAAGGTTTCATATAACCACGTGTTTCGTTGATGTCTTTTTAAGTTGATTTATCCTACAAGTCATAAGTCATAACCAATCTTTTAATAAATTACTGTATCCTAAAAATATCTTATATACTCACCTAGGTTTACTAGTTAAGCACGATGCGGTGATGATATGTGAAGTGATTAAATAATGTCTTTATCACGTCGCCCTGTTGTCGACAACCCAACGAGGACATAATTTATTAACTTATTATTTAAAAATAAGTTATGACATTTAAAAATGTACAAGACAGTTTTTTTTCTATACAATATGTTCCGACGATAATAAAAGAATCCTATCTAACAAAGGAAACAAAACTAAACTTTTATAAAAAATATAGTTTATTTATACTCAATTTATCGATACCCTCTTAACTCGGAAATACAGTTAATTTTAGGTATAAACCTTTTACCGCATGTTCAATCTAGAATTTCGACCGCCATTATTAAAAAACAAGTACTCAAAAAAATTAGATTACTAAAATGAAGCGTCTTACTACACATGAATCGGTTATAATAAATACCATATTGTTTTTGCGGCAATTATGAATAATTGGTTATGACGAATCACTGTTTATAAAATTGATGCAATAATTAATGAGCTATTTAAATACAATTTCTATCAACGTCATTTTTGGCAAATTAGTATTATCAATTTTAGATTTCAAATTATGAAAACAAAGTAACAATTGTGATAAGGGCAATTTGTCGTTTGGGAATCGTAGTGAGACATCACAGTAAAATGCAATGTGACCTCCGTCACACGTGTAGTGCATAAAAACCACATTCGGTACTTAATACATAATATTATATTAAAAAATCTGAACTATGTGGATAATTAACCTACTATCTATTAAAACATAAGAAAATGCATTTTTCTTAATTATTATCGGTCAACGTCGCCCTCTGGTCTTTATCAATGATTAGCAGGATTTGCTGATGTAAATTAGCACGGTATAACACAGTACATATAGTTTTAATAATATTTACGGTTATGGGTATAATATATAATAATATACTGAAGCTACGCCAAGGTTTTCGCCAAAAATACTTAAATACATACCCGTAACGATACAGGATATCCGACAGCACTTATTTTCTTATCTCGTTTCTCCTCTTTCTACTAGACAGATAAACGTCCTAAGAATGACTTATTTAAAAACGAGGCTGAAGAATGAAGAGATACCGAAACTACAGGGGGAAAATCGTTTTTGTTTATAAAAATCATTTATCAGCAAAATCCGAAAACGCGCCGTGTCCTTATAATACATATTTTATTATTATTAGAAACGTTTTCAACAGACGCTCGGATAGTCTGATAAACAAATAAACTACGGGTGAAGAACCCGCATGACTGTACAATGACCAGTGTACTAACAAAACGCATGAACTATTGTTTTATTATTAAATAAAAACTGCGAAAAATGTTCTAAAATAAAACTATCGATGATACGAATTCCTACTTGTCAACAGCTTCTGATCGATGTTCATATTGATAATTATTAATATACCTATTAAAAAAAATGTTATGTGGTCGGTGATTTGTACAGTTTGGTACCCCTTTATTTGATTTTTTTATTAATATTTCTTTTTGGTTTCGCAGGTTATGAAATAACCAGAGCGTAACTTACTTTATGACCTTATTTCTGGATTATCAGAAATTTCTAAGCATTATTAATTTAAAAAAAAACAATTTGTTAGCAGGTGAGGCGTTCCCTCTGGATAGGTTAGGTAAGGTGTTAAAAAGTGTTGATTTGGTATAAACAAAAAATATATACATTAATTATAGGTATTAACCGGATTCGGATACTACGTAGCACGGGCCAAAAGAATACGACACCACTTCCCGCGCTAAATTATAGCCTCGCAGGGTTAAATATTTGAGTGGTGGCGGTGGGGGTTGATTTATTTCGTACGACGATTTCGAAGCACTTACCATTATGGACGAACAAGTAGAATATCCCGAGCACTTGGTATCGGCGATTGCGAGACATGACGAAGGGGCTTATTCGACGGTGCTCTTCGGGCTGTTCTCAACAGGTCACATCAGGAAATATAATATTATTAACATCAGAACCAACCCCACAAGTCAACACAGTTAACGGGTTATAAAATATTACAATATAATTATTATTATTATCATACGGATAGTATCGCGGGGTTGGGTGTCGACCAACTAAGTCATCACTCGCAGAAGGGTCAAAAAAATGTTTTTCAAAAAACCGCCAAGACAAAACAAAAACGAACCGACGAATGAAACACGTCGTTAAAGGGACAGACAGACAGGCGGCGGTAACACGCAATGTGCGAACGCGACCGACGACGGTTTTCGACTGATAGCGCTTGGCAGTTGGCAGCCGGCGCACCAGGTCCACCGCATTGCCGGTCCGAGACGTCCCTCTTGTGGCGCGCGACTCGACTGCGGAGGTTCGGCTGTCCGGGTCTATTAATTGATAAGGTAGGCCGTAGGGTTTACTTTGTTTTTTCCATAACATACAAAACTGCCAATCGTGTTTAATATTAGGTATATTATCATACGAGTCGAGACAGTTTTAAAATAAAAAATTACAAAATTCGTACAATCATAATCAGAAAATGGAAACATTGATAATAATTTAACATATAAAAAATATAGGACGCATATTATCTGACCTTCGGGCTTCGGCCATTCTCTCGGTGGCTTTTATACCTATAGTCTATAATAGTATAATGTATATATATATATATATATACATATTATGTATATATAATTATGTTGTTTCTTTCCACTGAGAAAATGGCCGCCTTTTTTTGTTTACACAATAGCTTTCCACAATAGACACACTGGTGAGTGGGATACTGGAAAAATCCATTTTTTTGAAGGCCGCCATACGAGAAGTGCGAATATATATACAAGAGCCCAACCGATTGTACTATTGATAAAAAATTATTTTTAACTACTGTTTATTTACTGAAACTGGCACGAAAACAAAATAGAAAGATAAAAAACAACTAAAAATAATAATACATATTTTTATAATAATTATTATTGTTTAACGTGTACGTTTATATATTTTACAAATTTACGCTTTTAATATTGTTTACATTTTCCAAGGTTCAACGAAAAAAAAGATTTTTGATTTAAAAACAAATCTATTTAATGTGCATGATTAAATAGTAGCAATAAAAAGGTATACTTTTTGTATAAGGTATAAAAGGGGGAGTGCAAAGCTAAGTCGCCCTCGAGTCAGTTCTGTGTACTTATAGCTTATAAGTTACATTGGGCTTTTTTTTTTTAATACATTTTATAAAAATGCATTTTTAATTAATTTTATTGTTATTAAAAATAAGTATTTTATTTCATGTTAAGTAAATATTTCAATCTAATGATTTGATTCATCTACTTAGATTATTTATTTATTTGTTGTACGTATAGCTAATTTTAACATTTTTCCAAACACCTAATCTAACTTGTATTTTTAAGGTGCTGCTTATAATGTTTTGGAAATATTATTAGTTAATTTTTTTTGATAATTACTGTATTTTTCGAACAACTTTTTTAGAAAATATTAATCCTTAAGGATATAACTTAATTTGGTAATAATTATATGATGATACAATTTGATAATTGTTATCATAATACATTTGATAAGAGTGGTCTTATCTATTTTGTCAACATAAAGTGTATAATTAATCGACCAATCCATCTTTGACGAACTTTTTAAGACTCGTGTTACAGAGTTAGCTAAAAAGTAAAATTACTATGATTATTGCAAGCGTAGAAAAGTGTTTTTTTTTTGGGGGGGGGGGGTATTTTTTATGTACCATAAACTTATTAATTTAAATAAATAATAATAATGAGAAAGGCAATTTTCCTCTAGTTGTTGTTTTAAAAAATGTAGTGCACTTTTTTATATAATTACAGCTTACAACACAATAATAGAACACGAACCAAAAATACATGTAGTTTTAGGGGATTTCTTAGCACATTTTGAGTCTCCAGGCGATTGAGGCGAACTGTTTTTTCAATTTTATATATGTATATCAAAAGCGTTCTACACTAATTGAAATAACGTTGTTTATATTGGAAAATAACAGATTTATAATTACAACTGAATAAGATAATTGAATTCTACGGCAACGTGGGCGACGCCTCCACCATTAACGCGAATCGTGTTCGGAAACAATATTCACAGATCAACGAATAATGCGTTGAAATGAGCAAAGTTTGTAATAATATTATAATTAATTTACAAGTGTTTTTTTTAATCGTGTGGTAAATAATGAAAAACTAGTGGAAAATCATACATAGTATGACATGATATACCAGGAACAACCAATTAACATTAAGTGCTTACATTATTTTTTTTATCATTGATAATTACAATAATTGTGCATATTTTGTGGTGTGATACAAAGTATGGTATAACCTTTAGAGTGTTTATTATAATTTAAACCATTTAATAAAATTGTATAGCTAAATTTAAAAAAATCACCCCTTCCTATTTAAAAGCGAGAAAAACACCCAAAAAATGTACATATATTTTAACTTAAAATTGTGTTGCATTACAGCTTTATAAAAAATATTTCAATTAGTTATAAATTTGTATGGAATATTCTTTTAGACAAAGTATTATAAATATACTTAGGTTGACAACCAACAAAATATCAAAAACTCTCTCCTCCAAAATGGCTGATCAATTTGTAAGTGTAGTTGGAGGGCTTAAGGTCTGAAAATTAGACTTAAGGTAGCTCTAGAGTGGGGCTATAACATATCCGATTTTCTCAATAATGTGGACTGTTCCATCCACCTCCAACTAGAGTTGTGATTTTTTATAAATAAACGAGGCGAGGTAGAGGAAAGTAATGTAGAAACAGTTAATGTAAATTAATAATGTTTAATCATTCAATAGTATACACAATCATATTTATTAACTATGATATGGATTAAACAGACACAGATGCGGATACAAGAGGAGGGGGGCTGTGGGAGCTGAAGCCCATGTATTTAAATTGTATGAATTAAATTTGTATTTTTTATTTATTTTTTTTATAGTATAATATATAAGAATATGTTTTTTTTTAGTATGTAAACTTTAAATTTATGACTATTGCTTCTACTCGTATGTATTCGAAGTGAATTTTTTCGAACATCTCCCCTTTCATTCCTACATTCACCCCCCGTACAAACATATTAATATTTTATTTAAAATGCACATAGAGGCGCAATTCAAAAAATGTTAGCCCAAGTTTAATTCTAGACTAAGATATTATTCACAAGAACATTGCCAACGCTATGTTTTTCTTGAGTTGTGACTATATATGTAGTACCCTAGCTGTGTTAATTTCAATCAGTGTCCAACCTGTGACGAAACAATAAATAAAGAAAACAAGTTTAAACATAATTAATGATAACATCGATATGGTTAATTTCATATTATTTTCTTTTCGACATTTGTTATTTTACTAAAAAAATAATTGCACATTTAGTAATTAGTAATTACCATGAAAACTACCTACAAAACAACATGAACGGAAGTCGAAAAGCTTCCGGCGGTCATACTGTTGTTTCATTTTCAAAACCTTTTAAAGAAATTGTTAATACATTTTCTCAGTGCTCTTGTTGTAACGCTGGTAAGTTCGGTTGTGGTCCGCTGGAGCACAATAGTCTAAAATGCCAAAATAAATAACATATACTGTTTATTTAATTTTTAAATATATAAACACATACGTCATACAACATGCCAATTTTTATTAATCAATTATCCTAAAACTATTATAATTTAGTGCATAACCAAGTATCATTGTAAAACTTTGGTGTTCAGCTAAATAAATAGTTGATTAATATATTACAACTGAATACTTTTCCCGAATATCAAAAACACTTAAGAAAATATACTTGAAAATTTTTTTATAGAATATGTATAAATCTATAAAAATCAATAGATTTAATAAAAATATTTAAAAAACAAAATACAAAACTCAAACCGGTCAGTGTTGGTATTTTACAAACTATCAATGATAATATTATGCTAAATATTTCAAACGTAATTAGTGCAGATATGTAATCAAATACATAACAGTTTAATTATTATTATTCATTTTATAAATTTATTATTATTTAATACTAAACTTCACGGGGCTCTGGAAATGATTGGAACCAGAATCAAATGCGTGTAATATATTTCAAATGCATGATAAAAAGAAACCCGATTTTTAACAGGGTTTTTGAACCACTTTGGGCCGGTATATAATTTCGGTAAGAGTAAACACTAAACACACAATATGTCCAATGGCCATACATATAACTACAACTGTTGTCAAGATGGGCTGCATAACTGTGTTACGTCTTACCGCAGTTTGCAACGCGTAAGATATATGGTCGTCTAGTATAATGGTCATGTTATTACTCATTTGTATCCATCTGCTGATCTGCACCTACTATAACGACAGTACTGTTAAAGTTTATACCGACCGTCCTGATCCGCATACCATAACCAAATACATAAAAAATTAATACAGAAAAAAATCCACAATTTTTAATTTAACCTTGTATCCCACGACTCGTAATTTGTTCAACATTTTGGTCAAAAATAAGTCATAATAATCATTATAACATTATTAAATACAGTCCAACAAAAATCATAGTTCTAAATTTATTGAAGTGAAACTTCTTTACAAAGGGTAAGAAAGAAAAAAAGATTATCGGCTGTGATGGTCGACAGTCACAACCGAAAAACACTGTTACATGGTTCGCATGGTTTGTTTGTTTAAATCTTTTTGAAACCAAAGTCTATTCAAATAGAGCAATATTGTGTCCGAACTGGTAATCTGGTATTAATTCAGTAATTTCGTTGCCAGGATTCTCTTTTCAGCTGGTTGATTTCTTCTCTATATTTTCTATTATATTACTTTATTTTATCATTATTAATTAACTAACCTTTGGCTTGATTACTTAATTGTGAATTGTTATCCTGCAATTTTATTTTGCATGGCTCTGCGTGGTGTAACTCATTTTATATAATATACTTAACCCATAACGTTGCACGGAATTTACACTAAAATTTTACCGAATGACTTGTAAGATATTTTTTTTATTTAAAAAATTATAATTATTAAGAGTGTAGGAAAACTTGTGCAACCTTATGCAAAAAGTGACATTGGCCCTTTTAGACCCAAGCCACAGAATTCAGAAATACTATTTATAATCAATGGTACCTATTAGCTTTAAGGTATCATATATTTTTTTTTTCATAAGGTACCATATTTCTTAATGTACGTTTTTTTACAAGTTACTGAGATTAAGGTTAAATAAAGTTAAAAATGTTTGCGAATTATTTTCGTCTAGAGCAAGATTGATCGATAACGCTTTTATGTGTTCTTATCGGTTATAGACTCATAG